AATTGATCGGTAATTAAGTTGAACGCAGTTGTAACTTGATCTACGAGAACAAAGGCAAGAGCAATTAATTTTTTTACATTTAAAAGCAAAGACTCATCTTCTCTATATTTGGTTGCCAATCCTTTGCTTTGAACTTGTCGCCATACCGCTTGTGAAAAATGAAAGAGACATCCTATAACAAACGTTTGAATTATCTTTCCTTTTTTGTGAATACACTAGAACGTACCTTTGTGTAAAACATTTGGTAACATCTCTTTGACTGATTTGATTGTACCAGTTTCGAAATCAGTCATAGTTGATAGAGGTTGAAAATTGTCTTGTTCAAATATTTTTTCGAAGAATTGATTGTAATCATCGCTGCTTTTACCAATTAACAATCCATAGACAAGAGGGATAATTGCATCCGTTATCATTGCATGTCATGTAAAAAGTTGATAATAATCATCCGAACATATCTACATCAAATATAATTAGAAAAAAAGATATACATTCAATTAATAGCTCACTTTAAATGTTCCATCAACGAACCAATGTTTGTTTTGCTTCAGAATAGATAAATTATTTTTCGTTGTAAACATAATTAAATGCTTGTCTTCGTGCAAGATGAAATCTTCAACACGATATGTCTTTCTTAATTTTTCTGGTATACGACCATCGGCATCGACTGTTTCAGCAGTACGTTGTCGTCGAACTGTGAGTATAAGTGCTTCACTTCTTGGAAATTCACCAGCGGCACTCAGTGTATATGTACGTAAGGCCGAATGAAGAATTGAGCTGGATGATTCATCTGTCGTCACAGCACGAGCTTTAATTTCGTTCTTAAATTGGATAGCGGGAAAACGATCAGCTTGTGAAGCATGACCATGTGATGTTGGTTGAGTGAGAAATGAAATGTATTTTCAACATCATCAATATTTATTTATTTTTATCTCCCGATCACATAATTAAGAACATTGGATTAATGTTATCGTCGGTCTAGGTTATATCGAAACTCATTAAACAATTGACAAAGCTAATTACTTTTCGAACACTTTAGCTCTACCATGACTACACGTGATTAACGTGCTCTATTGATCGTTTTCCCAATTAAAGTTATCATCTTCAGTACATCTTTTACATTTTTTTTATTTCGTTTTTTTTTATTCGGATTGGTTATACAAAAAAAAATTAATTAAGAGCGACATCGACATATTGTTCGTGACGAACAGAACGAAACAAACTAGTCTGCGACGAATTGATCGCAAAGAATTGTACTAGTGCCAAAGTTTATTTTGCGTGGCACACACAACATTTTTATTTATTCAGATGTCTGCTTTTAACTAGCTGCCCGTGTGATCCGAACCGACAAAAAAAAACTGCCTGTATACCGTTTCATATAATGGGTGCGCTACCGGCAGTATATCGCCGGTTTTTTCGGAAAACAGTGCATCATGTTGTAGTGTACCAAAACGATTAATTTTTTTTAAAGTCTGTTAAAACCGACAGGATTCCACTAATCTCGTTGCTGACTGATAATGTTGATGCACCTGAGCCTAAATCAGTCTCAGGGCTGAAATAAATTGTTTACTATCGATGACGCTGCGAAAATTATTACTACTGAAAAAAATTATAAAATTATCTTTTTCATCGTAATTTGGAATTTTTCTTAAACAATAAATTCGAATTTGAGCAGAAAATGCGCTCTGCAGTCATTTACAGTTGGAACCGGAAGAAGTGGATGATACCGACGACATTGAGAAGAAATGTGCGACGTGCGTAGCCGTAAGTCAGAATCAAGTTCTAAGGATATATTTAAAAAGAGTATCGAATTCTAGTTCTACCTAACTACAATCCGTTTCAAAATAAAAGAAGGATGAGTATTTTTGGAATAAGTTTTGATAGGGATTAGAAAGAAATCTTCGGTTTTCACTATTTAAAAGAGACGATGAAACGGTATCAAATCAGTAATACCATTCTTTTCTGACACGTTTTCTTCGAGCTACCTGCCAGGTTTCTTAAAAGCAAAACATTGTGTAATGCAGAAGTTTTCGAATTTCAATATTCAGTAGTGCGCCGGAATCATTAAGTAAAAAAGCTCCATAGTCTATGTAAGTTCGAAGTTAAAACGTGTAGCCACTCATGAGGGATTAACATTTTACTAAGTGTTTTCGGCAGATTTTTCAGAAAAAATCAACTTTTTTTCTGATTTTTTTATCAAAAAATCAACTTTCTAACTCTACTCAGCAGTCTCTTTTCTTTATAAAACTTTGACGGGTAATCCTGAGAAAACTTTCCAAAACAAAATCTGGTATTGTTAATTCAATGCAGCTTTTTTGTTTCTTTTAAATGGTGAAAACCGCAGATCTCTATCTACTATCGACGGCAAAATACGATGAACGCGAGTATTTTTTGAATATCTCGAGAACGGAAGCAGCTATCAACCTGCGGTTTTCAGCATTTGAAACACAAATGTGGGGGAAATAAACTGATACCAAACCCATTAGGATCGCAGGATTTTTTAGGGTCTCTGGAAACCTGGACTTAAGTCGGACTTTGGCGATCCAAAATTTTTCAATAAGTTTTCGAGTTTTAGACATGGATTATNAAAACCGATTTTTTTTCCTAAAAATATTTTTTAGTAAAAAAGTCAACCTCAAAATTATCAGAACCTGATTGCAGATTCAGATTCCTCGACCCCGAAAACCTTTGGTCAAACTTTATAAAGAATCGTTATTTTCTTAAAAAACCCTCCTTGAGCGAAAAAAATAGAGATATAGCAATAGGAATACTATTCAATACCAATAGGTCAATACTGCATTGGAATTGTGACATACCTACCACTAATCGATGCTGATTGCGACCAATACCGACCAATTCTGACCAATTCCGACCAATTCCTGATCAAGTCCGACCAATTCCAATTTCAATTTCAATTCCAACTCCGACCAATTCCAATTCCAATTCTAACCAATTCCGACAATTCCAAGCCAAGAATTGGAATTGGAATTGGTTGGAATTGGAATTGGTGCATCCCTAGTTGAATAAGACAAGTGGCAGAATTCAACAAGGTCCTTTCCATGACAATCTCCTGCTCTTTTTCGCAGTATTTTCACTTTTTGAGTATTTTCTTCAATTTTTTTCTTCTTTTTGAAGTCATATTCGGAAAGAGCATGGAAAACTTCATCGAACTATATGTATAACTCATTGGATCGAAATTTCATTTTCCTACCATATAAAGTTAAAGAAGCCCAAAACCTGGTTTTCTTTTGTCTTTTCTAGCATTTTGCGCTAAAACTATCCAAAATTCAATTGTAAACAACCTTTTTAATGTGATTTCGGTTGGAAAAGCATTTGTGCACGTCACTAAATGTATTTTAGGTCTTCTAATGACGTTACTAGGTCTCCTGAGGACGATAACTGAAAATGGACCTTTAGCACTATCCTGCAGAAAACTACATTTTTATCAATGAAAACTTCTCTTCTTTCGAATTTTAACCTGAAATTCAAAATCAGCATCAAATTCCGCGTCTAATGAGTGCCAATTTAACAAATTTCGAAAGAAAAGTTTTTTCGACGACCCTGGGGTCCCCTACAGGTGCCAAATGAACCGTGACAAATGAAAGTCGTTTTTTCTCAAGAAAAAATACCTCATTTTACTCAGAATTTAATGCTGATTCCAAATCTGTAATTCTTTTTGCAAAATATTGGGGGCGAAAAAATGGCCTTAACGCCACTTGTCCTTTCGATAAAAAATGTTTGTTATGATATGTGATGGCAATATTAGATTGTATTGCGTCCTGTATGTGTATCCTTCTATTTATGCTCTCGTTGCTCTAATAATCATTAGCTATCTATATATTCTAAGTTATGCAAAAATGAAATATAGAAACAAGTTTATCAAATTTTCGAAACAATCGTTCTGATTATTCACACTCAGTTACAATCGTTGAATCCATTTGTCGAATACTTTTTTAAATACTTTTCTTTCATTCAAAGAATTTATGAATTGTTTTCTCATAAGACACAGTTTTTATCGAAATTTTATTACTATGATATTAGTTGAACAATGATAAAATATCATAGAAATGTAAAGCATTGTTTTTACTATTAGATCATATAGAGCAAAAGTTTCTTTACACTTTTTATACACAAATTAAAATACTTCCGTCACTACTTTTAATATGGCCAAAATAAAAATGATTCGCTAAAATATATTATTAATTCTAATAAAAGATTTATTCTGCAAATAAAATATAAGTAGTACATCAGTTGCATTAATTAAAACCTTTTAAATAACTTGTCTTTGCTTCATTCATCATTTTGTCAATAATCGATAAAAGTTCTTCTTTTGAATTAGGTTCTATGGAAAATGGAATCGTAAAAAATCGGGTTGTTGCATCTGTATGCTCACGAAACATTCGATCATTTTTTTCTGCCGTTTCCCATCGATGATAGTTACATAAAAGACGAAGACCAAATGAACCCACAGCAATGACTTCAGCTGTTGTAAGTCGTTGAAGTTCAGGTTCCGGTTTTGGACCAAAAGTCATATCAACTAATTCTGCTAGTTCAGTTGCATAGTTTGTATTCAAATTGTTCATAATATTTGATACTGTTTCATCATCATAAAACTCATCCGTTGTTTTCATCTTTATTAAAGAAAAAGAATATTCAGCAAATATTGATAAATATCGTAACTTTTATCTGTTCTTTTTATAACCACACACTACTTCATATATAATGTTATTACACACTTAAGACAAGCTATTTTTGCCACTAGAATGAAAGTATGATTCATTAAGTTTAGATAAAGTCATGATAAATATTTACAATTAATTTTGTCATTCTTTTCTCTGCTATTTTTTGTTTTGTTGAGTATATCTCATATGAAAAAAATGTAAATGAAAATATCTTGAATAAAATATATTGATTATACATAGTAAGAAAAAAATACATTAAAATCACAGGAACAAATAAGACTAAACATTAAAGTCAACCACATTATTCACAAAAGTTCCTTGTTACGGTTGAGCAAATTGTTGTGTCCATAGACGAGCTTTTTCTTGATTTTTATCAAGTAGTGGATCTTCGTCAATTGGTATTTCGTAGTTTGGTCTTTCCAATAATGAACGCATTTCGGTTAATAATTTACTGAGTGTAATGCTTGGCGCCCATGTAGCATTAAGTTGATCATGGCATGCGGTTCCAGTTTTCGAATGAATATTTGGATGGCATACAGCCGTAATAAAGTCAAATTCAGGTGGTTTAAATGGATATTCAGGCGGAAATTTTATTATAAAACGAAAATGGCCACCAGCATATGGAGTATTATCAGGACCGATTAATGTGCCAGTTAATTCATTACCACCATCGTTAAATGCTAAGTTTAGATTTTGAATGAATGGTAAGGGGTTTTCATTTAATGCGGTTAAATCCTTTTGTATTCGTTGAGTTTGTCGACTGGGAGCAGCTGCCATATTTTATTTATATCTAAAAAATGGTTGGTATATATATATATATAAATTTATTTTTTTTAATTTTTATTTGAATTTTTCGGAAGTAAATTTTTATTCATGCCTCCCCACACTTCACTTATTTTTCGATCACCTTTTGTTACTGGTGTACAATTTAAACTTCGTAAATCAGGCAGTAAACATAAAACATATGAACGTAAATAAGGCACGGCTATTTCAATTGGATTACCATGTAATGTTAAATATTTTAATTCCTTTAATGATACTAATTTTTGTACTTCGGCTACATCGCTGAGCATATTTTTATGAAAATAAAAACATTTCAGTGCAGAAAATTGTGTTATTACCTGGAAAAAACCAAATTGATGAATGAAGAAGAAAAATACAAGCAAGTGAATGAGTAAGGAAGGACGAAACAATTTTAATGACATCTATCTGCTTCCTAGTGAAAATTTGAGTCACTCATTTATAGATGTCATTAAAGTTTTTCATTTTATATTATTTTTTCTTACTGTAGGAATTTCCGTAAATTCATTAAATGATAAATCTAATGTTGAAAGAGCATTCGGATCAACAAGTGTAGTTCGTATAAAATCCGGCAATGTTTCCACAGGACCATTTAAAGCATTATGATTTAAATTAATACCATGCGAATGATATTTATCACCTTGTTTAATTAATTTTTGTCCACCTGGTACTACACGTGGTTCAGCAACTGCATCTATTCATCAACAGAAAAAAAAATTAGTCCGAACACAGTAAAAACTTATCGTTCTACCTTCAAGTTTCTGTGCATTATGAAACGAATAATCTAATGGAGGAAGTGATTGTGCATGATTATCAACACGTTTTTGTATTGTTGGTGTAGTTCGTTTTACAGTTAACGAAGCCATAACTCACTGAAGAAAAAAGGTCGCAAATAAACATAGATATAAAAATGATGGTGATCTTTGATTTTAGTGTGTTGCTAAGCAACTATGAAGAATTCAATTTCATATTAATGTATTTCAATAATTAATATTAAATAATTTTAAAAATTTGAAATAAAATAATAATAAAAGAAATTTTTTTACTTACAAAAAAATTTCACAAACAAAATGGAGGCTATTGTTAAGTGACCATAACCAAAGCAAGTACTCATGGATGAAGAAGAAAAAAACATGCATGTGTATTGAAAATATAAACAAAGAGGAATAAATTTTACTGTACCACTTGAAGGTCGACATTGAATTCTACTTAAATGAAAACATATGAATAATTTTTTAGATATTTGAAGCCTTGGTAAAATCGTATAAATGGCTGCTACGACTGTTAAAACGGATCCAATTCGTATGAAATATTAAAAAACATTTTTTTAAATTTTTTATGTTCAATTTATTTCATTAGAAAACGATAAAATGAAATTTCGTACACAAATTATCGATGGAAAGCCACGAATATTTTTTGACGCAAATGGTTTGCTCATTAATCAATTTATTTTTTCTTATTTTAATTCTAATTTATTAAAGATGAGTCTTCCACAAAATCCAAATCCAAACGAAATAGTCGAGCAATAAATACTGCAAGTCGTCTTGCAGAACAACAAAAATCAAAAATAAATAATCAAAAATCTCCAATACAAAATGGAACAAATAAACAAAGAGTTAAAACTGAACAATCGGGAAATAAAATACGAGTTAATGATGATGGTTCAACATTAGGAGTTTATATGACTATGGATGAATTAGCTGAACTTGTTAAAGCTGTAAAAGAAAATTCTAAAAGTAAAGCATAACAAAGATTTTTCCAATAATAATTAATCAATATTTTAGATGATAATAAAACCAATACAGAAATCAAACGTACATTGAAAAATTTTAATTTTTAAACAAAAAACTTTCTTGAATTTTTTTAGCAGAACCACCACTGCCGCAACAGCAACAATATACTGAAACAACAGCTCCGCCTATTGTTCCTAAATTAGATTTACCATCAGAATCTCATCCACCTCCACCAGTTCATATTTCACCTCGAGAACAAGTTTTAAGTGTAATGGCTGAAAAAAAACGTCAAAAATGGCTCCGAGAAAAAGCTGAAATTGAACGATTACAATTAGAAATTGAATATGATCAACTTAAACATCAATTATCACCTCGTCATAAACAGAAATCTGTATCTCCTGGTATTATCAAAAAAAAAAAAAAAGAACTTAAACTCTTACTTTTTTCTTATCCTTTAGAACGATCAACATTTCAATATGATTTTCCACCAACAACAAATAAGCCACCATCTGTACCATCAGTTCCACAATCATTTAAACCTAATGATTATCAACATGATATTTCACCAAAAGTTAACGAAAGTAGATAAAAAAAAACAGGAAAAAATAATCAATATTTATTATTTCCGTAGTAGATTCAAATCATGATGTAATGAAAACACAATTAATGGAAAAAAAACAACAACAATGGAAACAAGAAAATTGTAAGATGCCAACAATTCAAAATTTGAGCAACATTTCTTTTTTGTCATGGTTGGAGAGAGATTGTCGAGTTACCTATAAAAATATAGTTGTTGACATATTCACATGATGTTTTTGTAGTGAAACTTAGAAAAATTGTGTTTATAGTAAGAAAAAAAATCTATGCATAACACAAAAAATCTGCATCGAATAGTAAAAATAATACTCACAAGTAAATTTCGATCCTTACACCCTCACACCTTTATTTTCGAATAGCCTAATCTATAATTCTTCTAACGAAGAAAAAGTTCTCCAATTGACATATTACTTTTGAATTGGTACTATGTGTATCATGTAGACCCAAATGAGTTTTGAATATCCCGAAAAGGGTTCATGTTCTTAGCTTACTCATGTCTTTTACATTATTCATAAAACCTGATGGATTTGATGCTTGTTTTCCAAGGTATGAGCAAATCAAAATGTCTGAAATTTTCAAAATAATCTATTGTCGCTAAGGCCTGTCTCTGTACAGAGTTTCAAATCAAAAATCAGTTTCGCTGGTGTTCCTACATTCATTTAAAAAATACCGTAAAACCCCAGTATATCCGTAGCAATACGCTAAGATCATAAACTCTTTTGAAGGTATTCGTAGCATTGTTCATGCGTGTCTACATGTTGTAGATAGTCTCGAATCGAAAGCGATTTATCAGTTTGGATGAAAATTAGTTTTGAGTATGTTATTTGATGTAGGTTTTTGTGTTGATTCTAAATATGAAGCAGTTTTTATAGACTTTTTTTGCTATCATATCGAAAAAAAAAATTTTGCTTGAATATGTCAGAGGCAACATTGTTATAAGTAGTCGACGATCTCTACACAGCTATGAAAAACAAAAGTTTTGCACAAATTTTGAATTCTCGACACCTTCTGTTTTGAACAAGTTGAAAAATTTCTTTGTCTAAATTTTCTTTAGCGGAAAAAACAACAGCTTGGAATCCGTTTGGTCGTCCAGGTGGTGGTGCACCTAATATGAATGATAATCAATCGCGAACATCTGTTTGTCTTTCTATTTTTTTTTATTAAATTCCAATTAGATTAATTTATTTATTTTTCTAGCAATTGCCATCCAATAATGTTGTATCATATCGTCCACCAATTCCACAATATACTGATAATTCATCATTTTCATTGCCATCTACAAATATTCATAGTGATCAAACACATATTCCAGCTGCCATGAGAACAAATTTATTATTTGGTGATGTTCGTTTCGAAGATGATGTTAAAACAGCTAAAGAAATTGAACGTCGTCAATGGTTAGAAGGTTTACAAAAACAAGTTGAAGAAAATAAACATAAAAAATCTTTTCAACAAGAAACTGATCGTCGACAAGATTTTTTACATGAAAATGTTCAACCACTTGTACAAGAAGCTGCTTATAGACATCAACAACAACAAAATTTTGACATAAATGAATCAAATAAATATGATAAAAGATCTCAATTAATGGATAAACTTAAACGTAATGGATATCCAACAGATTCATTAATTAAAACAAGTTCAGGTAATGCATTTGATTCGTTGTTAGATCTATGATACCATTTAAAACTTCTTTCTTTTATTTTTCTCTAGATGCAAAATCAGCTAGTTCAGTATCGAATCAAAAGACAGGTGAAAAACTTTTCGGTCCAAATTATGATTCATCATCAGGACAGAATATGAATAATAAAGTTGAACCATTACATTTAAATGTTGCAATCGATCGACAACAAGCTTATCGGCCCAAAGATGCACGTCGAGACGAAGCTGTTAATACAGTTGACTCCACTTTTCGAAGGTAGAAACAACGCATGCTTATCATTTAATACAATTTTCTGGTTCCCTAAATTATATATACATTTGTGAATAATCAAACAAATGAGTTCAAATTTGGTCATTTTAATATAAGATATACCGTAATCTCATATCATTCCTAGCACTCATGTCATACTGTGCACGTGTTTTATTCAGCTATCAAACATTTTAAAATAAACTTTTAGCATGGGTCGGGTAAAAATAGCTAGTATAGATAAAATGTTATTTATCATATTTTTATATTGAAATAATAATGTTAAGGTATTTTTAGGTGTACTAGAGATATGCAGGGTAAGCTTGTTTTCATACCCTGATCCTACCCTACGAAGTTTTTTGTCTCATTTTCGCTTAATATTACTCTAATTGAAAGGTTCCGAAAGTGATAAATAACAAAACAGTATCACGGTAGAAATGTACAAGGAAAACTTTTTCTTCGTATCGTGTACCTTGGCTACGAAAAATTTTCTAACCCTTGCTCTATCCTAGGCTGTACATCTCTAAAGTATACTTAGTAGCATACTAAAACATTCTCATCGACTAAATATCTGCTATTCATTAGTTTTACAATGCATATTGCTTATTATGTATACTGCTAGTTCCTCTTATTAATAGTATTAAGACTAACACAATCTGTAAATAGTCATTATTCGATTTGTTATATGATTTAATACTTGATGAAAAATAACTTTCTAGCTATGAGAATATCGATTGTTAACTCAGAGAAGTTAGTAATTATTCTACTTTTAAAAAAGTAATTGGAAACCTTTCAGCATACTTTATGATACATAAAACGATTAGAAGACTTACATATGTCGACTATCAAAATATCCACTTATATTTCTTGTTGCTAGGTAGTCCAAAATACATTCTGATTACTGGATTTATTACTTAATCCTTTACTATTTGTGTCTAGTTTTTGAACAGATTCTTCGTACTTCATCTTAAGTTCTGTCACAGTAGACATAAGAATTTAGTTGTGTTTGGAATGTTCAAGTTAATTATAAAAAAAAATTATAATAAGAATAAAGCTCTATAAACTAAGTAAACTAATTCATTTCTAAAGATTTTTTTTTCTTTTACTGTGTTATGAAATAAGTTCGATCCAAACTTTACTAAGAATAATTATGCATAATATATTATCGATTATAGTAATTGAGACAACAAAATTTAATTTTCTATTTCATTCGTACTTACAACCATTCATTATACTATAATATTACAATTATAAAACGCATATATCGTGCAACATACCCTCTCTTTTAAAAACCACCCACATCAATCTCCTGATCGTTTGAATAAATACTTTAATAAAAATAAAAATAATATTTTTTCAACAAACTTTCATCAATCATGCAATGTCCTCGAGATGAAAAAAATACATCGAAAATATTTAGTCAATATAAAAGAAAAATAATACAACTACTAACTATTGAGTTTTTACCAATCATTCAATGCCTCAGAAATAAAAAAAACATTATAGAAATATATATATTCCATTGAAAAAAAAACAAATATAATGAAGTTATTATTGTTTATATATAGAATAACAATCTAACCATGAGTACCAAAAGTATTCAACGAGGCTTATTTTCAATTTTTCTCTATTACCCTAAGCGCTGAAAAAATTTTAAATAGCAATTCGAATAAAGAAAAGAATTTTCAACAGGAATATAAAGAAATAAAATTTATTAGCTGGTTTCCAAAGACAAGGACTCCAGAAAACCCAAATCCTAGTTTCTCAGCGCCGAGAACGCATAAATATAAGGAAATAGCCGGATAAGATCGTAAATCTACCTCCGCGTAGGTGTAACTTTCAATGAGTTAGAAAGATAATATGGAATTCTGCATTTTTTAATTTTTCTTTTATTGGATGTCTGAAAAAATTGTTAAGTTCTAAATTGTCTCATAGGATCTACCAGTTTTGGAAGTTTTCAATAATAACTATGGTAACTGTAAGTTTTTCTTTGGCAAACATAGTATGAAAACTAATTGTGTATATCGTTGTTGTTTTTCATGTTCTATATATTGACATAGTGATCATATTTATCATTAACTTCTGTTTTAGATTATGTAAGATCATACATCGCATCTATATGATCCTACATAATCTAAGACAGAAATTAATGGTAAATACGATCATTATGTAGCTGAGATACAGCACTTAGATTGAAAGTCAAAAGCAATGACTTTCTGGCAATAAATAGTAAAAAAAAATGACTATAGGGATTTCTATAAGACTGCTATATTTCAGTCAAAAAACTCCGCAGAGAACTCTAAGGCGTCTCATTCTGTAGAAAATTTACTTATTCTATCGTTCTTTGCAGTCTAAAGAATTATATTTACGTGTTCTAGATGCTGATGAACAAGAGTTTTGGTTTTCTGCAGTCCCTATTTTTGAAACTTGGATTATAGTTTTTATTTCATCATATTCTTGTTGCAAAATTTTTTTTCTAGTGCTTACAGTAATCTTAAACTTGAAGATAAACCTTGTTGAATAATTTCGATATATGTCATCAAGTATATTAGTCGTAAAAATGAAAGGAGCTTTTTCGAGATTTGAATAATAACTTATACACTTTGATTAACACTCAGATTTTAGTTTTAAAAAGTTTTCTCCAAGTTGTTAAATTCATTGGAAAAACTTGGTCGTAGAAAAGGTCAAAGTCCAGTACCTTCACAAAAAAAGCATCATTTTTTAAAGAGTTGGATAATAAATTATATATAGTCTGAAATTAGGACTTCTGCTCTATCGATTTATAAGAAAAATAATCGTTCTGACAAAATAATTATTCTTTCTACGCGAAGCGTTTCTAGTAAAGTTGGCCGTCACTGTTTTTTACTAATCCAGTATTGACAAAACCTTCAGAGAATGGTCTTCTATAGCTGGGGCTTACAATTTATTAGCATAAATACTTCTGAACTGAGACACAGAAACATCTCGAACGCATATAACTCGAAAAGTGTTATTCTAGTTGACACAGTATCATTTGAGAAACGCAATGTTATTAAATTACAGTATACCTGATATTCAAAAAGAAAAAAATCCCTACTTACTTACTTATTGGTGTGGTAAAGAATAATCTACCGAACCAATATTTAATTTTCATTTATTAACTTTTATTATTTATATTTTTTTATTTAAGCGATCACAGTGTTCAAACTGATTTTCGAGCATTACCAAATCGACAAACAAATCCATATGCTTATGAAGAATCTGATTTACCTCCTCAAGTTCCAAATCATCATTATCGTAATTCAGGTTATCGTAATATTCCAAATCAACCAGGTAAAAAAAATGCTCGAATGCGTTCACTTGATGATAATTATTCATCACGACAAACATCAACAATTTATCAAACAAATTCAACTGATGATGGTACAATATCACAAATGAGTAATCAACGTAGTTCTCATGGTCCAAGTGATGTTCATCATCGTCCATTATGGAATTATCGTAATCCTGAACATCGTGAATATATTCCTAATTCAAAACGTGATCCACATTATGAAAAACGACAACGTCTTAAACATTTTGAACAAGGCAATTTTGATCGTATTGATGATGTACAAAAGAAAACATGTTATAATCGTTGGAATAGTGATAGTGAATTACAACAACAACAAAAAAGATCAATACCAACAAATCGTATACGTTCAACAGCATCAAAAACTTCAACATATGGAAATCATAAAGATGAAAGTATCATGAATTTACTTAAGGTACAAAATAAATATCAACAAGAAACATTTGGTACAAGAAAACCATCATCAATACATACAAAAACTGATGAAGATTTTAATTCTAATCGTGGATCATCATTAGACAAATATGAAAGTTATATACCTCATACAAGAAATGATGAAATAATTGATCGAAATAAAATTAATTCACCATCATCACAATCAAGAGAAACATCACCACATAAAGAATTAATAGAAGTACGTACAAATATCAATTAATTCTTCTTTTTAAACAATTCTAATATTTCGTATTTAGTTGTCATAGGAAATATTAATCGAAATTCTCTTAGCTTTTGATTTTTTTTGCTGCATGATTTTGCTGTAATTTTGCTTATTATTTTAATATCTTAGACTAATACAAATGATAATTATCATCAACAACGAGAATGGGATAATACAAGTAGACAATATCCACTTGTTGAATCACCACAATATAATGCGCCACAATCAAGACAAGACCATATTCTACAACAATTATCAGCTATTAAAGAAGTTTGTCTAGTGTTCTATTAAGAATTTGTATATATTTACCTTGTTGTTCTTTTTTTTTTTTTTTATAGAATTTGGTTCGTCGACAACGAGAACTTGCTACTTGAATGAATGTTATTCCAATTTAATATAATTATTTCGCTAAGCGACTCGTTTTTCTTTTTTTGATCTTCTGAATAGTTCTCAGTTTTTTCTTCTTTGCATCGTGTTTGTTCATTCTTTTTTTTGTGTGTGTTTAATTTTTCAATAACTTTGAATATTTGACCAAAGTATCTGACTATAAAATAAATGATGTTTATGGCTACAGCATATATTTGCTGATGACATAATAATTCTGCTTTACTTGATGACATACGTCTCGCCAAGGACATTGAATAGCATGAAGCAAAAATACACAGAAATGATAAATAGATGGTAGAGTGGCATATAATAATAATCTCGTACGTATTGTGTTGTTTCCTGTTCTATTATCAGTCTGAATGCATACATATCAGCCAGAAGTATTGTTTGAAACTAACAGAGTGTTATTGAGAGAATCAAGGTAATGGAGGAGCTAATAACAACAATTGGTAAGTGAAATTTGTCGTTATTTGTCAATTGAAGATCTTATAAAAATATTTGTTGTTTTTTTTTTATGAAGGAATTGGAACATTTAGCAGAGTTATTTTGACACGTCGATCTATCGATGAATATGAAGAATATCATGCCTTAAAAATGATGGCTATACGTGATATAATACAAATGAAACAAGTCAATCACGTTAATGATGAACGAAAAATTCTTGCTAATGTTGACCATTCTTTTATTGTTCGTTTGTAAGCTTACTAGTAAACTTTTTGTTTTTCTACATGTGGTCTAAATTGCAATATATTGAGAATATTTATTGATGATTTTTAGTTATGGATCATATCGAGATAGCCGCTATTTATATTTGTCGATGGAATTTCTACCAGGTGGTGAATTGTTTTCTTATTTTCGTCAAGCTGGTCATTTTAAAGCATCCATTGTCAGATTTTATGCTTGTGAAATTATACTTGCTTTGGAATATTTACATAGTTTTTCCATTGTTTACAGGTAAAATAAAAGCTCAAGGATATTTTCTTTCTTTCGTTCCATAATTTGTTTTTTTTTTCGTTTTAGAGATCTTAAATTGGAAAATCTCGTGCTTGACGTTACAGGACATCTTAAATTAACTGATTTTGGTTTCGCAAAATATGTACAAGATCGGTAAATTAAAAAAAAGTATAAATTATGAATTTTAAATGTGAAGATTTTTGTCTATAGAACATTTACAGTCTGTGGTACACCTGAATATCTTGCACCTGAAATGATTCTTGCATCTGGTGGTCATTCATTTGGTGTTGATTGGTATGCATTAGGTATTCTAATTTATGAATTACTTGTAGGACGAACTCCATTTGCTCCTACTGATCATCAAAATCATCCATCATTTATCTTTATGAAAATTTTACATGCATCTATTCCTTGGCCGTCTCAACACGGGTAAGTAGACATCAGTGCCAAACTTATTAACTATGCTTACTTATATACACATATAGAATTATCGATCGAGTTGTGCGTAATCTAATTCGAAAATTACTCGAACGAGATCGAACACGTCGTCTTGGCTGTATGGCAGGTGGAGTAAATGATATCAAAGAACATCTATGGTTTAAACATATCCCATGGACAGATATCTTGGAACGAAGAATTGAAGTAAAGAAAACTTGAATTTGGTTTTTTTGAATAACATATTTAATTCTTATTTCGAATAGCCACCAATTATACCAAAAGTCGATTATCCAGGTGATACACAAAATTTTGAATTATTTGAAGACGAACTTCCTCAAGCACCAGAATGTACAAAAGAAGAATATGATTTATTTGATATATTTTAAACTGTACATATTAATCAATCAGCAATAGAAAATAGTGTATTATCATTCTCGTTTTTTTTTCTCTTGCATCATATAATCTAAACGTACAATCTATTTAATACATTGATTAAAATAGGTATTATTTATTTGACAAATGACTATTGAATAAATATTTTACTAACAATTATTTACAGAAATATTAGCGTAGTCGAAAGAAATTTCACAACCGGATAAAAAGCACATAATCCTTTTGCCTGATATTTTGACTACAAATAGAACTCGATAGATCGTGTTTGCAGGCACTAACTCAAGGATGATGGAACATAATGCAAAGAATTTATGATGAAAACAATGTTTTTTACATTACTGCTCAAAAAAGGCTATTCCACACTTTTTTGGTTTTCCCTTATTTAGATGTGTTAACCTCCATTTCTTGTTGATAAATAAAGACTTCCATGTCTATATTATGCCACAAATGCAATACTTCAATCCACTGTAACTTTGAGACACGAAGGTGCCTTTATTATTTGAAATCATCTCATCATGGACCATCTCTCCGTCAATGACTGCGATCGTAAAATCTTCAAGACAAATGATTAAAATTAGCCGAAGATATCAGTCACATTTCAATGATTTCAATTAAGTCTCATGTGGGGACCACTCAAAGAATATTTCATGAATCAGGCAAACTAAAACCGTTCGATATGAAGTTTTTATTGGTGATAAAGGCAGACCATTGAACTGTCCTAACGTATATGAGATTGGTTATCTGTATATTGATATATCCTCGTTTGAAGAAGAAAACCTATGCTGACCGTCTAGCTCCTCCGTATGAAGTGTCGATCAAATCTTGTTTAGAAGTAAGTTCACAAAAATAAGATTTTTTCTAACAATCTTAGTTATTGAAATCCTACATTTTAGAGTTTCCTCTGCAAAAGCTTATTATATAAAATAGAATAACAAGAATTATGCGAAAAACTTCATTGAATGTCGTAGAGGGAAAAACCTTTTAAAATTCACGTCGTTTTATACGTTGAATATTATCATGATGATAGAGTTTAAACCAGTCGATGATTGTCATAAACACTGTTCAATGATTCTATATATCATATTTATTGAAATTCGAACGGAACATTTTCATAGTAAAACTTCCCGCTTTTTACAGGTTGAATGTTATTAATTTCTTTTATTATTTATGCAAAGTTTGAGTAAAGATACACAAGCTTGTTCAATACCTGAAATTACTGCTGGTCGATTACTGTCTATACGTAATATCTATCTTCGTCAAGAACTATCTACTATTTCTGATGCAATTCAAGAGAATTATAAAGAACGTTTACCCGTACTTCATTTAGTATCACTTGCAGCTTACGAACAAGTTTTTAATAGACAAGTAATATAAATATAATAGTTTACTTGAAGAAATTCAACGTTTATTTTTAAAAATGATAGCCATTATTACTTCCTGAAGATTTACGACGAAACGCTGTTAAATATGCACTTAAATATTATCAACTTAATATTGATAAATTAGTAAGTTGAAATTATGAATAATGAAAAGAAATAAAAGTCTGAATATTATATTATAGCAAAAGGCTGAACTAGAAAATGGTCTTGTTCAGATTCATGATCAACTATTTGACTTCGAGAAACAATCTAATGCTGTTGAATCAAGCTACAATCTTTCATCCAAAGATGAAATAGACGAAAATCAATCAAGTTCACACACTTCAATATCATCAAATGAATCATTCCGAATAGATAATACATTTAATTCTACGTCTACTGGCACAGATAACATCGAAACATTTGTTTCATCTGATGAGTCGTCTAGCATTATAACAAATAAAAATAATATTTCATCGTATTCAACCTTCCCTTCTATCAATATTTTGTCTTCATTAATTGATACTTCTAGTGAAACAAAATTAAATTCTTTAGCTACTGAACCATTAATGACAAGTACATCTGGTCGATCAACGAAAACAACCAAGATCGATCAATCATCTACATCAATCAAAAAACTTTCTCGTACAAAACCACCAAAGATTATTATACGTCGACCATCAAACAGTAGTCTAACATCAATCAATGCTGACAATTCATCGATGGCAATTGATAGAAATGAAATATCTACTGAAGAACAAGCAGTCGATGCTCATTATCTATCACCACATAAACGGAAAAGCAAGAAACAACAAAAACATACAAGGAAATAGAATACTACCAAACTATGACCGTTGAGTGTAATAAAGTCATCGAATGTTGTTAAAGAATACATCAATTGAAAATTTAGTCAGCAAATATTTTTCTTTTGTATATTATCATTCCATAGTTGAAATACCATAGCTGTATTTTAAGATCGAGACAACAATAAAATCTGAAACTATTACCGTTAACGACTGTTGCTATGCAACGTTGCATATTGAAAATCGAAAATCAATTTCCCTGAGAGGATCTAGAGTATGTTCGTCTACAATAATATAATGTTCGCTAGAGGTCGCTATAATATGTTCGACTGAGTTTCATTTATTTTGTCTTATTGACATTTTCTAATTAGACAATCTACTATCTTTGTTTGTCGATGTTTTTCTTTTTTTTTTAAATTTATTATTTTTAAAAATACCAATAGAGGTATTGACATTTCGTTTCATTTGGTTATTTATGAGTCATCTAATCATACAGATACGTTTGCCCCCCTACGCTATTTGTCTTCTATTACGCATAGGGTGATGATCATACGAATGTTTTATTTGTCATTTTATCTTTGTATTCGAAATTACATACCTACAACACATTTAACAGAATACAGTTTATACAGAGTACTAATATGATTTCTACATTTTAGATAAACGTCATTTAATAGAAAAATAGGAAAATATTAAAAAAAATGTTATCAAGTGTTCGTCGTTTCTTTAAATTTATTCATTGGTTATATCTTCAATATCTTCTTAATACCGCATTGTACATGCTTGAACCATGGGAACGTGCACTTTTTTCAACATTATTATTTGCTATTATATCTACAGCTGTTTATTCGGCTTTAGTTTTTCTTCCAGTTCATGTTCGTTCAATGATACAAATTTATTCGTGATCCAAAACCAAAACATTTATCGTAAACATTTTCTTTTCTTTTTCAAATGAATGGGGGTTAAATTTCAAATATCTCGTATGCCAGTTTATTGTGTATATTTCGTCAAGGTTACATAATAATAAAAAAACAAAATAACTATTAAACCCATTGATTTTATATTTGAAAGAAAGGAAACTTAGTAAGTTGATTCGTGTATGATTTTTCTTTTTGTAAATACTGATAAATCAAGAATTGACCTTAGAAAACAAAAATAAATATTTAATTACTTGTAGATTTGATACTTGGCTCTCAAAAAAAATTAAATCCACATTAGATAGGAAACTTTTATTTATCGGGAATTTCGACATTAAAAATGATTCATTTATATCGAACTTTATGTTTCTCATCATCAAAGCCATAGAAAATATGATTCATTTTTAATAGTTGTGAGTTTTTCTCTTTTATATTGGACATCATAACCTGTCGTCAATTAAGTAAAGAAATTTAATGACAGATAATACACATTCATTAAGGATGATACACATTAGTTTTGATAGTTATAGTCTTGTTATTATAGAAAATAGTTCCGATGAGTTAAAAACTATGATTTTATGCTCGTTTCGAATATGGATTTTAAAATTTTGTACCAGAGTAGTGAAATAAGCTACCCCAAAAAATGCACTATTTGAAGTTCTTCTTCTTGTTTTTCGACAAGGCATCTTAATTTGCGTTTTTCTTAAATTACTCATTTCTTTTTAAATTTTGGGGTAAAAGCTACTGCTTAGTTCATAGTCACATTTTGTAGAGAAGTGTCTACTATATACAAGGACCGACTGCAATATTTTTTCGCCCGTTGGAAAAGAGACTTATAGGGTGAATAAAAACCTGTTGGCGTACTATTAAAAATAATTTTTTCCTGATCTTTTAAAGAGTCCACTAAAAATAGACACATTATTTCTAACCAGAGAACTATCCTAGCTGACATCCTCGGTTTGATCTCATATTGAACCCATAGGAAGGCATCGGTGAGACTAGCAAAAACCTAAAAGGATTCGTTCCCATGGGTCTTTGTTGCCGAGTTATGACCGCTTTACTGAGTTTTTGATCAATTTTTAGATATTTCGCGGAAGACCGAATAATGGAGTTTGGACCCAAAATTTTTTCCTATAGATGAATCTAATGACTCTTAGAATGTTCTACATGAAAGTTTCAGCCGAAAAAAATGTTCCTTCATCGAGTAATTGAATTTTCACGTGAATTCGATTTTTATGACACAGAACTATTTTTGGAAATTCAATATCCTAATGATGGAACATTATTTTTAGCTGAAACGTTCACAATATGCTAAGATTCATTAAACCTATTTATAGGCAAAATTTTGAATAAAAGATCCTTTATTCGGTTTTCCAAGGGTACCTCAAAATGAATCAAAAATTCAGTCAACCGTTCCTGATTCGGTGCCAAACACTAATATGGATGAAGTTTTTTAAGGTTTTGTTAGTCTCACTGAGATCTTCCTAGGATTCTAGTCGCGACCGATAATTTTTAACTCGGCTGAAATGCTTTCAACTAGATCAAAATGAACAAACATTTTCATTGGAAACGTCGGCTCACAAGTTCCGTTCAAACTAATTTTTGACGTTTTCAAAGACTCGAACAAAATTTTTAAGTCTACATTAGGAACAAGCACAAAATCATAGCTTTTAAACAAGTCGGAAATACTTTCTATCGAGTCAAAAGTGAACAAGTATCTTGTCTAGAAACTTTCCGAATATCTGTAATGCAAAAGAGATTTATTGAATTTTGATTTACGAAGGACTCCTGAACATGTTTTGTCCAGCCTGGAGGCAGCGGTGTTTCTCCGCAGATCAGATTGGTCCTCTCAGATTTAATAGTTACTGTACTATGTAATTGTTTGCCCAAATATAAGTGCTTACCCTCCGGAGGAGAAAAATCTAAAAAAATCACTGCTTCTACATAAATAAGCTTTAAAAATGACAAAACGAGTTTTTCAGACATCAACTTTCCTTAATGAATTTTATATGTGAATTACGAAAATGACAATTGTATTTCTCAGGTTACACCAATCAAAATTTTGTATATTTATTTTTAAATCGAAACTGATGTTTTCGATAGATTTATATATCTCTACGAGAGTTTTTACAGAAATCTTTCTCGAAGATATTTATAAGAATATTCCGTGAAACTAAAATGTTTACCTATGCAGAATGTATATTTTTTACCTCTAATCAAGTATTTTGTCGCTTACTTTATATGCAATATAAGAGATGGCTATAGCGAACAAATCACTAATGTGCAATGGTGCTTGGTGTCGTTTACTTTTTTCTTTCTGTCGCTGTTAAACATCTATACATTTTTTTGTATCTTTCTTTTTCTCTTTTGAAATTATTACTTAGTATATCGTGTATTGTAATTAGGCCTTGAACAAGCAATATGTGCTTATTATCAAGTATATTTCCATGCTATTTTTTTCTCTCTTACGTTCATAATTACTTTCTCTTCTCTACTTTGTTTTTCTTCTTTTTGTTGTCACATTGGAAACTGAATTGTGTTGCTCTCGCTTTTAAACTCAATATTTCTCTCTTCTTTGTATTGTAACGATGCTCATAGGCTTTAGCGTTTACTATTGCACGAACGAAATCGTTTTCTTTTTTAATTTCAGCGCGTTGCTGTGGTAGCTCTCTTGTTTTTTTATATTTTTTCTCCATATGACGCTGAGTATATACACTCATACAAACACACACACACACACAGACAGACACAAAACGTACATTACCACAGTAAAGAGCGTATCAACACAATAAAGTACATCAATTTATCGGTCGTCAACAATGAGTATTACGACTCGAACTTCGTATTTGGATTCATTAGCGACGGACAACGATGATTTAACGGTAATCTATAATCTACTCTTAATAAGTTGAAAATACAAAAATAGAGATTTGCTTTTTCAATCACATTAAATATAAAATAGACTTGTTATTTTTCTCTTTTTCTTATGAAAAGCAAATCTTCTAAGAAAACAAGTACATTAGTAATATATTGCATTGTGTTAATTTTAACTTATCTATTTTTTTTCCATACATAGATCAAATCAAATTCACAACAAAAAAAGTCTTGGCATGATTCAGTATATCAAGATATTCAACGTGTATATATGCAACTTCTGTTGATGACAACACTTTATGTGATGGAGCCATGGGAACGAGTGCTTATAATCTGTATTTTTCTTTGCATTATCTCACTAGTTACTTATTCGGCTCTTGTTTATATTCCATTTCACATCCACTACATACTACAATCGACAATGCCAAGTATCTCCGCTGTATTGGTACCCTAATGAACATTGTTTAAAACATAACCTTTTGACAAATTACACGTAGCAACTATTATTTTTTTTAAACTTTCCATTGTTTTTCTTGTGTTCTTTTCTTTTATTTTTCTTAACAAAATGCGAAAAATGATTTCATTGTATTTCAGTTTTTATATTTAACCGTTTACTTAATAGATTCACACTTACACAAGAAAGAAAATGAAGAAATTTCATTGGAAAAAAGCCAATTTACTTCCATACTGAAGGGCAGTGATACAAACATCGATCATTTACTCGTTATTTTTTTTCTTCTTTTCTCCTTACTACCGAAATAGATTAGCACACGTGAAGCCATACTGTTTTGTATTGTTGATGTTATTATTCATAAAAGATACATGAATTAAACACGTCATATTTCGGTCTTTTGCATTGTTTTTCAGATCATTTTTTTTATTTATTTATTGTGTTGTAACTAATGGACATTGATTCTGAACCTTTATCATCAACCGTCGGCATGTCAAATTTAGACGAAGATTTAATGGAAAGATTACGATCGATTACAACATGTAATCGTGAAGATTTAATAGCACAATTTCGTTCAACTACCAATGCTATGTTAACAGATGAAGGCTGCGCTTTTTTTCTCGAAATGAGTAATTGGTAAATCGAATAATGAAAAATAAAAGTTTCAAAAGGAAAAAAAATGTTTTTTTTAAATTAATATAGGAATTTAAATGAAGCTATTCTTGCTTATTATGATGCTGAAATGCCAACAGATAAAATTCCTCAAATGCGTTTTGTTGCTGATGTAACTGTTGGTGAAGGTGAAGCCATTCCACCAAATACACGATTTGTAAAAACTTGGCGAGTTGAAAACTCTGGTAATTTGCTTGTTTTTTTTCTTGAGTTTGTAGACATGTTTAATTTTTTCATTCATATTAAGGTAACGAACCGTGGCCAAGTAATTGCTCGTTACGTTTCGTTAATGGTGATCGATTACAAGATCGAGATGAAATTTACGTTGGATCATTAGCACCAGGTGAACAAGCAAATATTTCTGTCGATATAACTAGTCCGGCTGCTTCAAAAATTATTAGATCGCAATGGCGTTTGTTTACTTCAGCCGGTGTCCCTTTCGGAGGTAAAAGACGAATATAAGTAGCACGTTGATTTTTGGCTGTATAATGAGTCCTATGTAAGTTAGTAGAAGAAGATTTCCTCTATCTAATGATGTATGTATAATCAAGTTCTATCCTGTACCACTTACTAGGGAATTAGCCAAGGTAAAACCCTTCGTTTGAGCTCTTATTGAGTCCACAGGCAGGTCTCGGTGAGACTGACTAGCAATAGCTTAAAAAGATTCGTTCGCATGATTCTTTGTTGCCAAGTTATGACCAATTTACTGTTTCTCGATTTATTTTTAGATACATCTTGGAAGATTAAATAACAGTGTTTTTATTCAAAATTTTGCCTACAGATATGTCTAATGAGTCTTACAGTATCCTGAAAGTTTCAGCTGAAAACAATGTTTCTTCGTAGAGTTATTGAATTTTCACGTGAATGCGATTTTTACGGTACAGAATTATTCTTGGAAATCCAATATCTTAATGAAGGAACATTATTTTCAGCTGAAACTTTCACAATATTCTAAGACTCATTAGACCTATCTATAGGCAAAATTTTGAATAAAAAGTCCTTTATTCTGTCTTCCTGAGAGTATCTGAAAATGGATCGAAAAATCCAGTAAACTGATCACAACCGGATCTCCACGAGCTATGTGGATATACTCATCTAGACTTTTGCTATTCTTACTGAGAGCTGTTGATGAGTTCAATCTGAGTTCGAATGGTAGGCATTACTTGAAGTAATTTCTTCGTCAAATGTCAATAGGGTGCGCTACCTTGGCCGTATTCCACTGTTGTCAAGGCAAAGATGGCACCTTCTGTTGACGGTACAGTGTAAAATTTGATAATGCATGCACCATTACAAAGAGGAACCGTTGCTCTACTTATCTACATGTATTTTGTTTGCGGGTTAAAATCTAACAAATGCCTTTGAGAAAAATTGATGATAATTTTTGTTTTAGATCCAATATGGTTAATTGCCAGTGTTGAAGAAGGTGGACTAATGGGTATAACTCAACAACTTGAACAATGTCATTCACTTGGTATGAACGTTAATTATCCACAACAGATGAGCAATCAAATAGATGGCATGCCACCATCAAATAATTTATTTTATCAAACATCTTCTACAAATCCATTTCAAAATACGAGATGTAAATGAAATGATTTATTAGGGAAAAATAGTTTATTACATTTTTTTTAGGGCCTACGTCAGATGCCAATAATGCAGCTGGCTGGACGAATTATCCAATTGTACCTGTTACAGTAAGTTTCATGAAATAAAAAAAAAAAAAGAGAAATAAAAATTTCAATGATGAATATTATAGGAATATTCTCGAACGAGCAATATTAATCATCAACCATCGGATCCGTCATCATCATCAAATGGAATGGTTGATGATAATTCTTTAGACACATATTAACTGAATAAAAGTTCATCTATTGTTGTGCTAGTCGAAACCGAGTGCGTGTTTACAAATTGAAAAAAGAAAATTCTTTATCTTCGTCTCTTTTTTTTGATATTTTGTTAAAAATTTGACCATCATTGACACAGATTTATCCCGTATTTTTGTTTACTATTTTCTTGTTCGGTTCTTATAAATATATGTTTAATGAGAAAAACGTGTTACCAACTATTTATGTAGATAGAAATTCGTCTATTGACCAGTAAACATTAATTTTTCTTGTCTTTTCGTTGCAACATAAAACTGTTCATTGGTTGCTTTCCTTCTTTCATTTCTCCTTTCTTTTTATATATATATTACAAACTCGCATTCAAACAGACAGAGTTACAACGATAGATGTTTCTTTTTCTTTTTCTTTTTTTTCATTTTTTTTGCTGTTGTTTCCTATTTGATAATACTGTATATTCAAGATGAACTATCCGAAGAATTTAAACAAAATTTAAACTAGTTAATCAAAAGAATTCATATTCATATTAGTTTGGCAGCAAATAAATGCTTATTCGCTTTTCTTCTGGGGTGCGTTGTGATTTTTAAACTTCCATTTTAGCAACGTACATTTGCTTCAGAAAAAATGATCTGCCTAATATTGATACTACAGGTCGAAAAGGTAGGTCTCAGTGTGTTTCAGATTTAGAGGCACCAGCTGCTGGTGCCAATTTCGCAGAAAATTTTCAGCCATCACTGTCAAGGCTCAAATGACTGAGCTCCGTCACCATCGATCAACGTATCAGCTTACACGTCTTTCCAGACTTTTCCCCCAAATCTAAAGATACGGACGTGAGAAACTACTGGGATTTATTATTTTACGAATTTGCTTTATCGAGCGGATTTATATATTAAAAGCATTTACAACTTTTGACTGTACCAAAAGAGAACCATAGTGCCCATCGATTAGTTCTCATCTTCAAACACGGAAAAATAAATCCTGGAAATTGCCGAAAAAGTCTTACGAAAAATGTGAGAAAATGTTGTTGCTAGTTATATTCTCTATGTCACAGATCTGAAGAGAAACTTAAAAGACTTTCATGATTGAGGTTCAGAGACTCCTTCATATTAGGAGGTTTTCAGGAAACCTTCAGTAACACTCGTAGACTTCAATGTTAAACTAGCAAATAGTAGTGTATTTAAAAGTAGAAAACTTGGACTATCCAACCATGTGTAAGTCTTTGAAACCATCAATCTGGACTAAATTTGGTATTTCTGACAGCGGAGACATGCCTTGGATCGGGTAATAAAGATTAATCATATGTTTTACATTATCTTTTGAAAATTGGTACTAATAAATACAAATAAAATGTATAACTTTTCAAAAGCTAATTCAAAATATTTGATTGACCTATATTATAGGATTTCTAGAAAATGCAAGTAATCTTATCGGAAAACAATGATTTGAATTGCTTGGGGGATTATCCTTCAAAGATATCGGAACTTACTTTTCTCGAAATTCTGACTCTGCGAAATCGACAAAACGTAGTAAAAGGAATTTTTGTCAAGATCTAATCGGAATTATTAGGATCCAATCAAGAGACGTGTTTGATCTGAGTACATATTTTAGTTGTTTTTTTTTTCGATATATTTTATCCATAAACTGTTGTTTGATACAAAGAAAAAAAACAAACAACAAATTGAATAGCGAAATTTATTCTCAATAAACTTTGCACATCGGATTCTCAGAAGTAGCGAAGGACTAGTTAAGACAAGAAAAATTTGGAGTGTGCGAAGGAGATTTAAAAATACGATTTCTGATTAGACGTCATTGATAAGCGGCTCTTAACAAAACCAGTGATCAAAATCAGTTGCGATGCTACATAATCACAGTTACAATATCGTCAATATCATGGATTTGAATTAAATAAAAGAAAAAAAAGAAATTTCGAAATGTTATTCATTTAGTTATAAAGAACTATGAAATTTCAACAATGTTCGTGTTTTACCATATCCTTAGAATTAGTAAAAAGGCGTCAGCTAACTGGCAGTAAATTTCAGTTAAAAGCGGTCAACCCACGGTTCTTTATCACTATCGCCTCACAACTTCTCTCACCCAGTAAGCACCTTATATCTATTTATTTTATAAATTAACACATAATTAAAAACTATTAATTCGTCTCGACACTTGAATCAACAACTGGACCAAATCTGAATAGAAATGCAAATAGTTTAATTGTTAATAAAGTGATACTTACACCGATTCAGGTGTTCGTTCAAATGTAAGAAGAGAAAAAAAAAAGGAATTTTGTTTTCAATAAATTCTTATTTATAATGGGGTCAGCTGTTGCACCAAATTTAAATTAAAAAAAAAGTCAATTCGTCTCTGAGTATCTGTTATGACGATTAGTCACAAGACATGAGTATCAGTTTTTTTTCGGTGCATATCATATGAAGACATTAAAAACCAAACTACTGTTTTATATTAATGCCTTATAGCAAATTGAAAAAAAGCTGAGGCGAGGAGCAAATTTTGTAGAAACTGAGAGAATACTTCTACAACCTTTACCTACCTGAATATAAATGTAATTAAAAAGTGGAATGGATTTCATGATACCTGATGCATATGCATGGTGCAACTTGTGGTATATATGTGGAAGGGAAAAGAGAATATAAAAAGAAGAGGCATAAAAATAACCTAGTGAATCAAGAAAAAAATATTTTGGATCTGTATTTGAATCGCTGAATATTTATATATGTTAACTGCAATAAATTCCCGATTAATCGTTTTATAAATTTTCATTTCTAAAAATAACTGAACAAAACCGTCGGTTAACCGCATTGCCAATCGCTTTTCATTAAAAAAAAGACGATATGGGTTTTATTCAGAATGACGTAAAATTGTAAATGAATTTTTCATGTTGTAACATTCTTATGCGTATAAGACATCTAGACTAGTCAAATGAAACATGAGAATTGATTAATACTATGAGAAAAAATAATCAATTGATTGCTGAAACTTGTTTAAGATACCGATACTATGAACGTCTACGTTCATCTTAATCTTTTGGACGTTTTGATTATTCTGATTGATTCGTTCCCCTTACGAAAAGAATCATTTGTCGATTGAAATAATAATGGGTAATCTTTTAAATAATGATAATTATTCGATTACTGTATTGAAAGCCAAACGGTATGTGAAATAGGAATATTTCTACTTTTCATAGGCACATCCAGTTGGTCAAAAGGTTTTGTTTTAAAGAATATTAATCACAGTTGAACACGAATATAACTAAAAATTCAAATAATTTTAGTGATTTATTAATGTTTGGAAGTAACTAAACTCGAAGGCCTAGAAGTATTATGAGATAGCTCAAAAAATATGATTAAAAATGTAAATAACTCCAAGTGCATGAAAATATACTTCACATACGTTCACGTATAGTTAAGTACTAAGAATGACAGAACACTTGAGAGTCCATTCAAGATTGCCAGTAACTCAAAGTATTCTAAGTTACGAATACCTGTAAAAAGCACAGGTATCCATAGACACCGATGATTACTTTGGTTTTTATTTATAATAGATATTTTATAACTAAACATCAAGGTACTCAATGGTAACTTTTGAGTACGCGTAAAAACTACGGACACCCATGGTTACCTTGGTTTTAATTGTAAAACATAACGATAATTATCTTGATATTTATTTATAAAGCATTCTGTATAATTAAAAATTAAAGCGACCATGAGTGTTCGCAGTTTTCACAAGTACTCCTAGATTACAGTTAACCGACATGAAGAACTTTTACTGAAGAACATGAATAATTGTCAAGCGAGTAAAAAAAAAGCTGCTAGCGCAATTCTTATGGAACTAAAATGTGAAACATGACGAAGCTGCTATTGCTAATCACAGGGAGATTGTTCTATTCGATCTATTTCGTGACACATTTCTTAATCATTCTTGTAGTTAATCCTCCAGAAATACAAGAAGGATGTAGTTTATATAGTATAACGAGACATTAATATACGGTCTGTGATCGTATATCAACAACATCTACCATGGCATGTGATGGTCTCTGGCCAGCATCTATAACTGCCTGTGATGTATCTCCAACATGTCTGTCACGGTCTGTGGGGAACGCGAACAGTGGGTCCGAATTTCTATTCTATACATTTCAAAGTTTCTTGTAGATCGGGCTTCACAAAATAACCAATGTGTAGCATTATTAAAGAATACTCTTAGTACAATATTTTCACCTCTATTTAAACTTGCGTATGATACACAATTAAAGGATTATCGAGAAGTAATTTGACAAAATGTTCATTTATTTTTCCGCCTCTTACAGAGGCCTGTAGAAATTTGGCGAGAATCAGAATTTCGTTTTCTTTTCGAGTATAATTTCAAAGTTTCTGTACAACTACTAGTTTAAGACTTATGAATCGATCTCTGTCGAGACCCATAAATTAAGTTTAGCCGAGCTTCAACGCGCCAAAGCTTAAGCGAGAATTAATTCAAATACACCGAGTGAAAGAGCAAAAATGCCTCTATAAAACAGTATACTAATCAATGGGGAAACAGTAGATTCCAGGACTCCACAGAACTTCAAGGCACTCAAATTTCATCTATGTAGTCCTACGCGCCCTGCTATTACACAAATGTGTTGTCGTTCATAGTCTCTTATTATGAATAAGGAACGATTACGATATCGTTAAAAAGTCATGTGGACATTTGCACAAACAATGCATAGATTATTTAATAACCATATGCTAAAAAAGAGGTATTTTATTACTATCAACATTTTATATATTCTGTTAATAATCGATGATATAGTACAAAAAAGAAATAAAACAACATGAAAACATAAGAATAAAAACAAATTGCTACTCAATTGCTGAAGCATTTAAGAAAAGAATAATTGGATTAGTTTTCTAGAAAACATCAACTCATGAATAAAAGATGTTTCCAGATAAGATACAATCGAAGAAGCAACACGAGAAGCACGAAAAATATCAGTGATCTTCAGACTAAACTT